GGAAAATAATTTTTTTTTAATTCATTAAGGGGATTTCTAAGTAAATACACATACTCACAAACATGTACTTATTTTCTTTAGAACAAGAAGCCTTATATTATTATATTATATCTATATGAAAATCAATTCTGAAACAAATGAGATTATAGTTTAAGGAAAAATACAAAATTGTCCAAAGAAAATGTTGTCCTTAAACTTGAAATTGATTTTGACTATAGTCTCCACCATATTGTTTCTATTCGGATTGATTCAACCTATTCTTTTTTCAGATAATTATAACATTGTCTTATATATATATATTAGTTATAAGCTTTTCTTTGACATAATTTTTCAGAAAGTATTTGCTTACAACAACTTATTGGATTTAAATTTTATTTCTAAAGTTCTTAATACAAAGATTGAATCGAATTTGGATTGACAACAAAAAATAATTTTTTTATCAACTAGATTAACTGTAAGGCTTGTGGGTTATATAGTTTATAAATAAGGTGGTGTCAAATTAAAATTTAAAGTAGCCCTTTAATTAGCTACGTACCAAATTAAAATTTGCACATATTTCTTGTACAATATGGGTGCCTGTAAATAGGGAAAAAAATATTGAGAGAGAGAGAGGGAGGCATAAACCAAACAAGTAGTTATCGTTTCATTTCAGTTCTTGAAACCCACATTCCCCATTAATACCACCTAAAGGGCAACGAATGGCTAAAGATGATTGGGATTGTCGTGGACACTTTAAAACCTCACCTCACAAAATCACAAAATCAACAATCTTTCCAAACTAGGGAAGACTCCTAAACACTATTAATAATTGAAATTATGAAAAAAAAAAAAGCCCTGAATTGCATTTACTTCATTATTTTTCTTCTTTTCCTGTTGTGGCACTCGCCTGCTCCTTTGACAGGTTGCTACAGTTTTTTTTGTCAATGCAAAAGTTAATAATAAAAAAACCTAACCATTAATCTTATATGAAAGCAGCCGAGTTTCATAAGATTTTATTTTATTTTGTTTTTGTTCATTCCAATTGCTTGTTGTAAAAAAAGAAGTATATATCAACAGATGCATGGTCATGTGTCGGCAAATTTCACATGATTAATATATATAATAAGTTTATGTTGTTGTTTATTTGATTTTACAAAGGTTTTTTTTTTTCTTTTCGTTGCTTCCTATTCCCTGAAAAAGGTGAAAATAACAACCATGTTTGCCAGGTTCCATATTCAGCAGCTGATACGAACTAGAAATGAAATTCATGAGAGGCTGGTTATATATATATATATGAATTTGAGATTTAATCCAAACAATTTATACATTTAAAGTGGATAATAAATTTTTAATAAAATTGAAATTTAAACCTTGACGCCTATATTCAATTGTCAATATAAAAAAGGATAAAGATTAAACAAAACACTTGATTTCACAATTGTAACCTAATTTTGAAAGAAAAAAGTTAGTGGTGTACGGAGAAAAACTATATGTGTTATTATGTAAAAGAAGTCGTAATTGATTAAAACCTTTCCTCCTTGTAATGCCTGTGCATAGAAAGAAAAGAAATTCATGTTAGTAGCCAAAAGGGGGACCATGAGAGCTAGTCTGCCTTCTATTTCTAGGTGTTTTACTAATCAAAAAGGTTTTCACTTTCTTTCTAAGTGGTCCAACTGTTTAACGTAAGTCCAAGGAAAAGAATTTGAACCTTTTTTTTTTTTATTTAATTGAAATCTTGAGCTGGGAAGATAGCTCGCTAGCTAAGGCTAGCTCATTATACATTGAAATTTATATCAATAGTAACAAGAAATCGAGGGTTATCAGTAGTAATTGTACGTTTTGTTGATAGAATTTAAACTTTTGTTTTAATAATCAAGATTCAAACTGTCAACGTCCAATAAAAAAATAAAAAATAAAAATTACAATCAAAGATGCTTGAATTATATATCAATGACCCCAAAAATTGTTTGGTTGTGAAAGGAATATGACATTAATATAGTGATATATATCTTTAAGATATGAAAAAGGATATAATTATATTAAAATTAAAAGAAAATATCCAACCAATTTTATAACTTAGAGTATTTTAAAATTGTGTCTAACTCGAAAATATTTATCTAAAACTCGACCGAAGTGAGTGAACAAAGTAATCTGATTTGTGAATAGGTATGTTATAACTTGACTTTATGCCTTTTTGAGGTTGAAGACAGCAGATGGGAAGATAAAGCCTAATCCAAATTCTAATAGCAACAAGCAAAAAGCAAAATGTGGGGGAAAGAAAATGCTTTCACAGCCTCAGCCTGGCTTATCTTGAATCTTAACCAAGGAAACAAACCAATCACAGCCAACCACCTGTCAAAGCACCCAACTGGATAATGTGATATTGCCTTAACACCAAAAAGCTTTAGCATGGTAGACAAGGTGGCGAAAATATGTGTATATAACAAAACCAAGATAGAATTCCAAAAATAGAAAGTGTCTGAAAGAATAGAGAAAGAGAGAATGGGAAAGAATGAGTGGAAGTGATAAGAGAGAGAGCGTAATGGCAAAATGGGAAAAACAAAAGGAGTAGTTTGTCTGAATGAATGATGAAAGCGATCTAACAATTAACGGCACCAAAATTATTGTCTTTTTTTTTTCCTAGGTGAAAAAAAAGGTGCAAAGAGGGACCAATGCGTGCAAAGTCAAGTCCCAGTCGCAGTCACAGTCACATTCATCAGCCACTCAAATAATACTAATAATAATCAACAAGTGGAAGGGAGGAAAATCAGTATTTTCTGAAAGGGTGTTTGAATGATTTTAATTTTAATTGATGACTTTTTTGCAAGAACGACAGCAGAAGAAATTGCAGCCGTTGAAGAAATCCCATAAACGGAAAGCCACAACTTTAGAAGGCAAAGAAAGTTAACCCCACAGCAAACCCCTTTGGTTCTTTTACTCTTTTCGATTCCTTTGCTTTGCTTTCATTTTCGTGCACTTTTTCCCCACTACTGCTCCATCACCAACTAGTTCAACTCCATTTTTTTTTAACTTCACATGGTTAAGAAAGAGAGTTAAGGGTTAAAGAAAAAAAAAAAACAAAGACATGAATCTGTCTGTCTGAGGATTTGGCAGTGTGTTTCGTAGATCCAGTGCAAAGGAAAAGGATCTAATAAGAACAAATAGAGAGAGAGTCTTTTCTGTTTAAGCTGCTATTGGACAGACTATCTTTGTTCGCTTTTGCATTAGTTTGAGCTTTTGTCCACTTCTTATCCCCTTCGCTGCCATTGCTTAAACCTTACAACTTACATTCAAATCATATTTTAATTTTGTTTATTTGCAAATTGATTTTTTTAATACGTTGGGAGTAATAATCATACATCATTAAATATCAATTCTGTTAACATATATCATTATATTTGATCATGCTTTTACTTGGGTACATAATGATATAGAAAGGAATGTAAAAAAAAAAAGGGGGGGGGGAGAGATAGAAGGGAATAATAAGGATCTGCCTAAAAAAAGAAAGGGAAGTATTAAGGATTTAAGGAGCTTTGGGGGAGGGGGGGGGGATGATTCTTTGCTTGAGAGCTTGTAAATGGACCCATTGACATTTTTGCAGCAGCACTTCACAGTTCATCACATGCAAAATGTGATTAGAGATTCTGACATGAAACCTAAAAGTGATGCTCATAATGCTTTTTTTTTCAGCTAACAGTTCTACATGATTTTTTTTTTCAACAAAGAGCATAACCCCCTTATAAAAGAAAAAAAGAGAGAAAATCATGGATTAAAATTAAAATCATGTTTTCGCAAAATCTCTTTAATCATTAAATCAAAAAGTGGTAGACAATTCTACATGAAATTTGCCAACAGTATTTGTTTGACTAATTATATGTATACACCTTGACATCTTTTAATAATTAAAAATATGATAACAAAGTGTTCTTTTATTACTATTTGATTTCTTTGTTCATCATATAGAAATTTTGATTTAGGGTTAGCATTTTCTTCTCTACTTTGACAAAGATATATGTAAATAAAAACATTCAATTATCAAAGCCTGTTCAATTTGAAGGAGATGTGCATGAATGAGTTTTAAAAAAATAATTCTGCATATTTAATTCTACAGGATAATGGTGATGATGACAGAAGGTGGCCTTGACCTTTCTCCTTATAGAATATTTTCCTCTTTTCAAAAACCCCTCTGCCCCATATGGTAGTGATTAAAAAAATTAACACTGACGCCCCAGATGACGAAATGACAATTCCTTTTTTATTCATTGGGTTTCTATATCTTAATGCAAAAGGACATAATGGAATCATTCACAATTGAACTGATCAAATAACATTAACTTTTTTTCACATCCAAAATAAAATAAAGCTGATGGGGGGAATTTCCATCCATATTTAAAGCCAAGACACACCCTTTATCCTCGTACACTACTCCACCTCGCAGGTTTTAATTATTAGACTTGAAAAATCAGTTCCTGAGGCCATAGCCAATGAAAATCTCTGCCTCAATTTCTATTCTTTTGATCTTCTGTATAGGGTAAAACCCAAGATATTGAACCAGTACTCCTCTTTTACCCTTTTAAAGTCATTTTCCTCGTAAACGGACAGGGGTTAAACCCAAAGTATACACTTACCCAAATACCCTTTTGGTCTCTCTCTCTCTCTCTGTTTCTTTTCCCTTGTAATGTCCTTTTAAAAAGCAGTGGGGGTCAAGATGATAACTTGATAAGTCCCTCTCGTCATTATAGCCATGTCTGACTGATTCTGTTTTCAAAGAACTGATTCAAAGGACACAAATGATGGGTGACTATTCATCACCATCCAGTGATATTTCCAAGATCAAATCAATTTTCCCAGTTTTGTATGTAAACATGCATTTTCTCCCTTTGTTTTCCTTTCTGATTCAGAATCTTTAGCTATATTTTCCTTCTTATTTTTTCTTTCATCAATCGATCCATGGTAATGCTGTGTAACTCCAATAGGGAAACTCAAGTATTTTTCCTCAAGGGGTCAGAAACAAACTAATAAAAGAGAAGCAGCTACCAATAATTTATAGTTGCAATAGAAAATGGGGTACAACAATAATGCCAGCTGTATAGTGCGGCAATGCAATTGTATTAAAGACAATAGAAAAGATCAGCAGTTTTAGTCAGAACTCAGAACATTTAGTTCAAAGTTTCCGTTGGTTTGTTAGTTTGACCGATGCCAAACAACAACAACTCCAAGAGTGCTGGAATTTTCTTTTCTTTGTTTTTTTTTTTTTTTTCTCGTTCCAATAATTTCCCGCAATTCTTCCCTTTGGCTCTCTAAGAAAGTTGCAGAGGGAAGAAAATTAAAAAAGGGAGTTATCTCAAAGCATTGATCTTCACATGCTCACAAAACCAACAAGGTGAGAGAGGGGGGTTAATTAGTGAAGATTTATGGCTACTTTTGGATGGGTCAGGAGGGTCTCATGAGTGAGTAGAACCCATTTTTCTGCAGCCAAGTTTGGGAAGGTCTAATCTGGGACGGGAATCCTGATGATGCTGCAGCATTTGCAAAGAATTGGTGAGGACCCGATTGCCATTGTTGATATTCACTGGTAGACAGTGACAGATCACTCTCAATTCGGCTTCCATTGCTGCCGCTTGGAAAATGAATCTAAAAATTACGATGTGTGAAAGAAATTTAGTTGAGCTTTCCTAGTATATATAAATCTCCAATCAAGCAAAATTACCAATTATCAGCCTAATTGTAAATAAAAACCTGATAAGTTGATGGATTAACGTGCGGAGGAAAAATGTGAAACATATGGTTCTCTCCAGGTCTCCTCAGCTGTCCATATCTTTGCATTTCATCAGACTTACCTAAGGCTGGAGATTGAATGTGGGTTTGGCTCAACAGCTGCATTGTTTCTGCCTCGCTATATCCATCTGACCTTCGGTGATGAGCATCATCACTTCTACACGGTTCCTGCAGCGGGTTTAGCTTGAAGACATTCAGCAAAATGAAATCAATCACTACTAAAAAATAAGTAAAAAAAAAAAAAAAGAATAAGATTCTTTTTTCTAATCATAATGTGAAATTATACCAACCTTAGATCTAAATCCCCGATATTGCCAATCAGCTTCAGGTATCAGATTATGCTGATCACTCATAGCAATTTGCTTCTGAGCAACAAAATCGACATTGTTTTGCTTTGGGGTTGAATTTCCCAAGCTCAAGTCAAGGTTGTCATCTCCAGCATTACCTGAAGTTTCTAAACAATAAGCATGCACAAAAAATTTAGAATAAATCCTTAAGGGGTGATGAATAATGATCGGAAAAGAAAATTAAATATAATCCCGTACGGGCAAATTCACTTACCACCTGAGTTAAGCTCATTGTCGTATATGATGGGATCAAAGTTGGTAACAGCATCTTTGCCATTGAACTTAATTGCAGCTCTGTCATAAGCCCTACAAGAAGGGGCCAGAGAATTCAAAACTCCACCAAATCCCACCAGACTTGCATCAATTTCTCTTTTTACTGTCTTATGTTAAGTCCATAGTCTTCGAATTTAATGTTACTGGAGGATTATTTACCAGCGTATTAGATCATTTAAAACTAATTTCCATAAAAGTGAGTACCATTATAGTATTAATTGAATATTTTATTATAGTTTAAAACTGTGACATAAACCCCAAAGAAAAAAAAATTGTAACAAACGAACCTTGCTGCTTCAATCTCGGTGTCAAACAAGCCTAAATAAACGTACCTGAAAAAAAAAATTCAACTACACAATAAAGAAATGAACATTGAAGACAAACCAGAAGGAAAAGCAGAAGGGAATAGTTGGGAGTTGGGAAATGGATTTGCTAATAAAAAGGATTAAAAAAACTGTTACTTTTTGCCTAAAAATTGGCCCATTCTAGCTTCCCATCTTCCACACTTGTGCAAAGTTACTCCTCTATATTTGGAGCTTCCTCTGGGAAATCCGGTGCTTTGTCGGCGAAGTACATGCACAAATTCTTCTTTAGTTAGGTTACTCATCTGTAATACAACAAAACGAATCTTCCCTTTTATAAAGATGTGATTTCCATTGCAAAAACAGAAAAAAAAAAAAAAAAAAGCTGGACAAGACAACATGAACTATGCAATTCTTTCATCTTCTCTCAGTCTCAAGTCTTACCTGCTTCAAGTCTTCTTCATAATCTTCAATACTAAAATTTATATCTGCTTCTACTCCCCGGAACTTGATTGCTGCCCTATCATATGCCCTGCCAGAAATAAAGGAAATTTTCTTAAACCTTTGGCTATTCTTTTCTTTGGAAAATAGAAAAGCTGAGGTTGAGACTTGAGAGCTCACCGAGCAGCTGCATGTGCTGTGTCAAATCCACCTATATAATCACAGGCAACCCAAAAAAAAAAAAAAAACCATCTCATACACATTAGAAACATAAAATTGCAAATACAAAATTTGTCTAAAAAATCAATGATAAAAACTAAAATAAAAGAAAAAATTAAGTAAAACTGACAAAAAAAAAAAGACAGTCATACCTAAATAAACTTGTTTTCCACAATCCCTGTACGTTAAATGACAAATCCAAAACTACTTAAATTCTGATTGGCTCGAGAAGGAAAAAAAAAAAGGAGAAAAGAAAATTCTAGGCTTTGTTCTGATTAAATGAGAAAGAATTAGAAACTAACCAAATATGAGACTCCCATCTGCCGGTTCTTCTATAAAAAGTAACACCTCTGTACTGAGAGCTTCTTGACCTAGGTCCTCTCCTGCTTTTCTTCGTCGGCTGTGAAACTTCAACAGATTTACCGGTGGCAAGGGGCTCCGACTGACAGAATTTGACACCAACCCAGTGAGCCCGAGGGAACCCTGCTCCACCTCCGCCAGAAGTGGCACCCATTTCTGGGTCTTGATCAAGAGGGAAAAACTGCCGGGTCACAGGACCCGGGTCACTCTCCATGGACTCTTCTTCATGAGACACTGAGAACCCAAAAATCTTGCTGCTTCTCTTCTTTAAAGCTGCTTTGACTCTCTCTCCATCTTCTTCTTCCGATCCATCCTCGATCACCAAAGCTGACGAGCTTGAATTCGAAACGGATCCGACCCGTTTACCCTTCTCTTCATCTCCATCTATGGAAGTTTTCTGTGATGAACACCCCTCGGATTCATCGTCTCTTGGCTGATCAGGAGAGTCATTAAGATCCCACATTTTCCCACTCTCTCACAACTTTCTCCGCTTATGTTCTTGATAAAATTTATATAATTCAACGAACAAAACTTAAAAAAACCATCATAACTATCTTCTCTTAAGAATTAAAAAGAAAAAAAGCCCGAGAATTTTGAGAGAGCTAGAAACTCTCTTTCTCTTTGTATATAAAGCTAAAAAAAATACATGTCTGAAGGGTTGAGTATTCAAAGAAGGAGGTTTTGAAAAAAAAAACGAAAAAGAAAAAGAAAACCCAGGAGAGTTGTGATTTAGCTAAAAGTTACCATAGCTAGGAAGAACTGAGCAAGGAAGGAAAAGGAGGGCCAAGACAGAGATCTTGTAAAAACCTGACTGCCCAATACAGCATAGACGTGCTTGTTTATAGTGAAAATCATTCACAATCTCCCTTATTAATTACTTTTTTTTCTTTTATATTTTTTGTTTTTCCCACTTGGGTTTTTTTTTTCTTGTTTTTCCTTTTTTTGTGCTTTGCTTTCTTTGTTTCTTTCTCTCTTTGAAACCACAGGGACTCTGGCTGGAAATTGTTATTTCAATGATTACGAATAATTGAATAAAATTTCATCCGTAATTAAGGATACATTTGGATGTTATCTTATTTTTTACGTAATATAATTGAATTTATTATATCATTAATTAAATTTAAATATTAATTTAAAAAAAATTTATTAAATATAAATTTTTTATTAATTTTTTTCGATTTCAATTATAATAATTTTTTTAATTACAATTATCATAATAATAATAATTATTTTTAATTTTATCATAATTAATCTTAATATCCATTTAAACAGAACCTAAGTTTAGATTCTCTCTCACTCTTTTCAGGTTTTTTTATTTTAAAATTAATATTTAATGGCAAAAGGAAGATTTTGAGTTTTTTTTTAACTTATTAAGTATGGGTTTTATTTAATTATTATAATTTATTTTTAATATTTTTATACAAAATTACATATTAAAAAACTATACTTTTTTTTTTAAAATTTGTCATTGGTATTTCATTAGATAACAGCATCAAAATCAAGTAGTAAATAAAGATGAAGATAAAAAAAAAATAAGAAAAAAAAGGGTAAAAGAAGAAAGAACATTCAATTTTTACTCACTTCCCAGTAACCAAATCGAAATAGCATTCCTTCTTCTTCATCTCTCTGAGTTCCTATAGTTTAAACCATTATGGGAAAAAGACAGCCGATGAATAAAATAATGCTAATTATACAATTGCCTTTAATAGCTAAATGTTAGCTCACTTCATTATTTATTTTTTACAAAAAAAAAAAAATTGTGTTTTCAAAAGTAAATTTTAATAATGTGTGATTATTTTAGATTTTAAATATATTAATATTATTGATTAAAAATAATTATACGAGTCTTTCATTAATGCTAAATTTTTTTTATCGTTAATATGGGGCAGTAAGTTGCTGAGGAGGGGCAAAAGAGGCAAGTAATTATGATTTTTTGAGGTGGTGAAATACAAGAGAAGCCAAGGAGACGAAGGGAGAGTGAGTGTTTGGTAACAGAAAAGGAAATGAGAATAATGTAAGGAAAAGGAAAAACTTTCCAGAAAGGTCCAATCCAAGAGCAAGGGAAGAGGGCCACCTTTGCCTCTTTCGTTCTACCATCGACCAATGGCCTGCTTCTGCTGTTCCTCGTATTTATCACCCTTTCTTCCTTCTTCACTCTCTTCCCTTTACGCGTGTTTCACTTCTCTCAAGCTTTTTTCTATGTTTTAATGTGGTTAATTTAAATAATTTTATAGCTATAAAATATTTTTTTTGAGATACAATAACTTTTAGTTTATTATAACAAAATGATTTAGTTTATGTGCAAGGAAATGTAATGCATTAAATATAAAAAAAAATTATTATCAATTAATCTTAATCAATATTTATAAGTATTCATTAACCGAATTTTATGTACAAATTATGAATTAATCATAACTTTATATTAATTATCAATCATTTAATTAACTAATTTTTTTATTATCAACCATTTAATGCAACCTAATTAAATATCTTCTTTATGTGTTATTTTTATTGGTCATGATCCTTTATCCCTTTTTTTTATCCTAAAATTTTTTAAACAATTTAAACCATTTAATTCAATATTTAAAAGAATTTCAAAATTCAGCATAACATATTATCCTATAGAAATCTTTTTCATGAATTGTTGGTGTATGTAATTAGTGTCAAAAGTATTCAAAACCTAACTACAAAAATAGCTTTCATGGAAGGTGGAAATTGATGGTTTATTTCAAATAATTAAAATAATATAATTTTAAATTTTGATAAAACTTTAAAAATATATTTTATATTTAAAGTATCAATAAAATTATATATGAAAAAATATATACAAAAACTTTTACAGCCCAAATTGAAAAGTGAAGGGAAGGAGAAGCGTGGCAGCACTCTCTTAGTTAAGAGCTTGGGTCTAACTCTGACTCCAAAATACTAAAGCCAACTCAACCATATGATTATGGATTAATCGATAGATTCGTAGATTTAAGAGATATCATCATGCTTGACATCACCAGCATTAGAAAATAGAAACCCAAATTTTAAATAATTAAAGATGAAAAAATGAAATAAAAATTATATATTAAAGAAATAAAAGAAATTATCTCATTTATTAGTTATAAATTTTTTAAAATTAATATAAAATTAACAGATAATATACACTCTTTAAAATATATGAAAAATATAAAAATTAAACATGCCGTAATATTTTAATTTTGTTTATAAAATTTAAAAAATTATTATTTATATATATATAAATAATCAGGAAGCTGAGAAGGAAGAGTGCAAAGAAAGAAACAAACGTCATTTGTAAAAGTAGGGCCCATTGGAGTAAAAATGGAGATAGCCACGTCAGAATGCGCCTAGACAAATTTCCCGACAATGAAAACCAAAATGTTTTATGGATTTTTACGTAATTTTACATTGCAGTATGATCTCATCTTATTATCAATTAAATTTAAATATTAATTTTAATAAAATTTATTTAATATAAAATTTTTATTAAATTTTTTAAATTATAATTATAATAAATTTTTTAATCATAATTATAATAATATTTTATTATTATTTTAAATTTCATCATAATTAATTTTATCATCCATTAAAGTAAAATAAAATCTTAAATGTCTATGTCGTCGTTCGTGCTATCTGTTTATCATTTTATCTATCCATTTCCATTGCCATTTCCATCCCAACTCTGAAACCTTGCTCTTTGTGTTGAGTGAGGTGAAATGGTGAGCAGCTGAAGCAGAAACCTTCCAATAATGTTAGTGGGACGAGGCTTTTGTTTCAAGAGGTTGTTCTCTCCAAGTGGAAACAGTACCCTCCAAAGTGCCTTTCTTTTTTCTTTTTATTCTTTCTTTATTTCTTCTCATTTTGAGAGCCTTACCTTTCATTCTTCCTCTTTTCTCTCTTCACATGATTATATCATTTATATTTTTTTGTTATAACATTATGGTTATTCAATCAAAATACAAATTTATGTAGGATCCATAATTTATAAATGTGAATTTTATATAAATTTTAAATAAATTTCATATAATTTTTAAATTATAATTAATTAATTGTACTACATTCATTATAAATGATATTCTTTCTCTATTCTTATCCTTAAACCTAACCCTAACCCTTTTGCCTCCCCTTCTAAATCTAATTCTTTGCTTCGTTTTTCTTCTTTTGGGAGGTGGCAGATTTAGAAATTATATTGTATTTATTTATAATATATATAAAAAATTATCAACAAAGACAAAAAATATGTCAAGAAAAAATTTTAACAGTATCCAAATCTTTTAAATTTTTTTATTTTTCAATATTGGGATATCCATAAATACTCTACCATCAAACATTAATTTTTTTTTTCAAAATTGGATGGTGGATAGGCAGTACATATGTGTTGGGCAACATGGTTTTGTTGTATAATTAATTGGATGAAAATTATCAGCTGACTACTAATGTACAAGCCAGGTATTCTTTTCTTCTTTTTCATTTTTTTTAAACTAAGAATTATAATGAAAATGACACTTACCCAACAAAACAATGCAATCAAATTGAGTTGGAAATTCACATGCCAATTAGGGTTTATTTTTGTGATTTTTTTTTTTATAAATTTTGTAGTTCTCTAATTAAAAACAATCAGATAATAGATATAGGGGACCATCTTGGAAGCTTTTTACTTTTCTGTGTATTTATATATTTAGATGCAAGGACTTCATGAAATGCTATAACAAGCAAACTTAAAAATGAACTTCTAATTCAATTTGGATTGTTCATGTTGGAAATGAATTAGATAGCTCTAAACTTGACTTTTAAGCTACTCTTTATGGTTTTACCTACACAATTGATCTATCAATTCACAATTAGGTAAAAGCAAGTAGAGAACAAAGGGGAAAAAAAGTTTGTTATTTTTATTAAAAATAGTTTGAGATGAGAGAACGTTTTTATTTTAAGATAAGAACAGATCGTAAGCTTAAATAATGATTAATGTTGAATTTATAAATTACTCATAAGAAAAATTACTAATGGCAAGATTCGAATCTAAATCTTATTAAAAAAAATGTTCTAAATGCCTTTGGGATGTCGATCTAAATTTAGTTGTGTTGTCAAGTACTTTTCTCTTCAATGGAAGACCTAATAATATCAAAAGAAAATTGCTTTCGATTTCCTACTAGAATAAAGATTACTAAAACCAAATGATGTGGGTGGTTGTAAATGATCGTTCTCCTAAAAAGTAAAATCATAATTAGATTTGACGATAATGGTCTCATCAAAGTCTCCATAACAAGTTTTTCCCTTTACTAGAAAATCGTAATAACCAAGTTAATTTAGGTCTAATAGATGTTATTGGTGAAATAGTGATTTATCATAAATCTTTTTATTTACCAAAGGAGAGAGCACTTGGTACACCTAATTGTGTTTTATAGAGGAATCCTAACTATAATCATTAGATATCTCTCTTTAGTCTCTTTTGATATTTTATTATATTACTAGTAAGGGTTAATCTAGTTGAAAAATAGATAAATTTTATTTTTTATCAATAAAAAATTGATTATAAAAATATTTTAAAAATAAAAAAATTGAATATATTAAATCAATATGAGTGATTGTACTTTTAAAATAATTAAAAATAAATAAATTCAAACAAAGACGAAAAATATCCTTTGTCATATCATAAAAAAAAAAGGATTTCATTGATATTTCTTTTTTATTATTCATTTAAAAAAATAAAACATGACTTGTAGTTAGAGATGTTTATAATTTGGTTTCAATCGAATTAATCAATTGAATTAATTTATTTTAATTAATCGATCGATCATCAAATTAATTTTAATCGATTAATAAAAATAATTTTTAAAAAATTTGTATTTTTGATAAATTCAGTTCAAAAACCGAATTAATCAAATTAATCAAAATTTTAATCGAAATATAATATAATCTAAATATAAAATAAAAAATATATGAAATGGAT